TGACAGGGGGTTGCGACCCCCCCGACCCTCCCCCTGGATCCGCCCTTGACCCCAATGGCTCCCAAGTTGCTAAGAAACCAATGATAGACAGAATCATAACAGTTACTGCTGCACTGACAAATCTATCTACAGGCATTGTACCATTTGATTGACCTTATATAAGATCCAGCGATCTCAGAGTTGTCACTCAGCAATTATTTATATAAATGTGTCTATCACTGGATGTTATTTCACTGTGTGTGAGGGAAATGTGAAATTGAATATATTAATTATAACAAAATGTTGATACTGTATATGTTTAATTGTTCCAAACAATATGTACATAAGAAGTACAAGTGGTAGGGAAAGGAGTAATTTCTCTGTCCATAATGCATTGCAACAGGTGTGGACGCATCTGATCAACAATAAAACTTTCATTAGACGGATTTTGCCCATAAAGAATACTTGTTGCAAAAACAATTGCGAACACACCACAGTCATTTCCATTTCGCTGTTGCTGAACTGGCACGCCTCAAATTCCCTTAAAGGATAGACTTTTTAAGTGCATAGCTAGTTCTAGTAGTTCGTGAGTAATTGGAGATGAAAAGCTGTCATAGACATTTACATAACCAGGGCGACTATGTACAGTACTAAAGCACACCCAGTGGTTATTATTTATACGAACTATTTGAATAAAAGGTCCAGTCATTATATCAAATTTTCTAACTGAACCTAAAGTAGGCCTTTGAAACCCTTGTATGCTGGTAGTTTTTTCCCTTAGAAGAATGTGTGATTCATGTATGACTACACAGTCCAGCCATTTATCTGGGGATGCTATAAGTCCATATTCATAAGGTCCCAACTTTCCTTCAGAACCATACTTGTCCATTGTTTGTGAGGGCATGTGACTTTGGACAGTTCGAAGATATTGCACCTGTTCAGTGGGAGATCCGACTGTACATGTGGGCTTAGCATTAGTACTTGTTACTGTGGGCTTAGCATTTGTTACATTATGCAATGAGGGCGTTATGAAGCACAGAACACGCCCAATTTTTGCTGTTACTTGGCATTCTTTTTCGGTTGAGACATGACAAGTGAAAAAACGTGCCATTGCCACAGTCCACATTCGAACATTTAACTAATTTGTCATTTCACTGAAGTACAGTGTTGCATACACAAATAGAACTTAACTTCTGAGCTTCGCTGGCATTGTTTGATGCTTGCTTCTTTGTGCCACCTCGTTTGAACTCTGGCAAAGTCCTGCAGTTTGAACAGTACCAGGTCTTAGGGACTGAGGTGTTACCTAAACAAGACAGGTGGAATTTGCCAATATCACACACTGGGTTACAGCACTTGACTGTAGCCTCAGCTGTCTCCTTTCTGCAATAACACAAGGAGTCAACTTTCTGTGTTGTGCTTGCCCTCAGATTGTCCAAAATGTCTGTAGTTTCGGCATTACTCTCTTCCAGTGGTCAATATCTGGATTGATACGCTGAGTTACAAGTACGATATTACCATCAGCATTAATCGCACATACAACAAAGTCACAGAACTGAAGTTTTGTTGTAAAGAGCTGCTGCTGAACTTGGTAGTAATATTCATGCTCTTTGGGCAGTATGAATTGTCCAGCAGCATTCTTTTTTAAACAAGATGAGGGCTTCAAAACATAAGAGTCAAAATCACAGTTGTCAATACAGAGGGGGCCCTTGATCTCACCACACCCTTCACCACAACAGTCACACGAGGAAAGAAAGTCTGGTGTGGCATGCATCCATGTATGCTCTTCATTTATAAACAGCCCGCATTTCTTTTTTTTAAAAGTTCAGATGCTTCGTTTGCATACATTGCTCAAAAGCATGCACGGCAGTAGCTTCATGCTTGCAGCCATGTTGTACAGCCTTTGTTGTGATTTTATTTAATTCTGGATAACAGATTCTCTGTATCAGAGACTGTGAAGGCAAGGCAGGGTCTGAATGAGCTGCAGACTTGCTCTGGGATGCCCCAATCCTCCCTGCCCTGTGCTTAAAAAAGTTAGTTACACTCGATTGTGTAATTGTATCGTTTTCAACTTGATCAATTTGCTGTTTTGAAATGTCAACATTAGACGTTTGGCAAACTGCTGCTGCGTGTAGAAACTGGTTTCCAAAACCAAGTAGCAAAGGAGATCAGTTGATTCAACTGGGGGAAGGCAATCCGGGTTGAAGCGTTTCCCTTCTATCAAATAGGGTCGATTCCGTTGATATTTTATCTAAATATCGCCTTTTGACCTTTGGATCTAACTTTTTAGCGCATTCAGATATCGTGAATGAAGATCCATTTCCCAGTTCGGACGTAGGAGTGGAAGGTTTTGCACAAGAAGACATTATAACTTTGCAGAAAATCTGATTTTGGGTTAAATTTACATACGTTTACATCCGAATCACGAGACTTTAGGTGCACCAACATGGCGGCAATAAAACTTGTGACGTCATCTGAAAACGATCTATAAAAGCTACTATAATATCCTCATGGGAAGAAGGGCCAAATGACACATTACAATGTATTTTTTCTCGGCCCGTGAAACAAAGAAACTCTACGCGTATGCTTTATAACACGACATCGTTTGGAGTTCGGTGGCCGAATTCTGCCCCACCCCCTCCCCTTGGTGGCCATTGTCTTCATGTTAATATTCCTCGCTGTTTACCTCATATTACAACAGTCGCGGATCTCATTCCATAACTTAATTACTCCAACATGTTAATAATAAAATTAAGTGAGGATATATATTTTTTAATTATGCCTTTAACTATTTAACAATTAGGCTCCATAACTACTTAATTACTCCAACGTGTTAATATTAACTATTTAACAATTATAGACTACGAGGTCGAGTTTTCTATGAGTCAATAGATAGTCGATGAAGCGCGTAGCGCCAAATCGACTATTTGACTCAAAGGAAACGAGAACGAGTAGTCTAATTGTTTTAGCATAAACCTACTAGCTAATATTATAGCATTGAAAACAAAGAATGACGCTGGAAACTTTACTGAGCAAAACGACGGTCAACCGGCATCACTGTTTTCATGTCATCTTTGCGAACTCGACTCGATGTCTTCACGCGCATATAAGCTTAAACTTGCTCTATTTCTATAGCTTTTTGTCTCTATTATTACGGTCAAAACTCTCTTTCCAAGTTCTTTTTTCCTTTTTGTCAGTTCTTGGGATCATTTTTCTAATTAATGAGTGATAAACTGAACGGATTTATTTACAAGTACTTTGTTGTCAGATCATTCAAAGCTGTGCCATGTTTACAATTGTCTTATATAAGATTCTGTGTCAGTTAACTTACACTTTCTTTATTGATTCGCCTGTTCTTACCGTTTGAAATTCTTCTTGAATACATGTGAATAAGTTGTCTTTTGGATTTTTTCTGTCCTTTGAGGAAATTCTTTTAAAATGCCATCATTATGTCAGTAGTCAGTTGTTTGTCCGTCGTAAGTTTGCACAYAAAAATCTCAATGAAATCTGACGGCCGCTTTTTCGTGTTCTGAAAATTGCTATAATTCTTTCAGTTTTCAATTTATCTAGCTGTACTGTCCAAAACCTCCATTCCTTTCCTTGATACAGTCTTGTATTGTCTACAATCGATTTATAACGATTTTTTAGGGAACAATCAGAGATTTCGACGAAACTTGACCATGCATTTGTTTGTTTTTTGCTACTCGCTATCTAACACAGAATAGAAGGTGACTGCGTTAGCCAATCAGATTGCAGGATTCGYGATAGTATGCTAGTAGGTTTATGCTAAAAACTAATAGAGAGCTAGCACCCAGCCAGTCTCAGAAGGCGAATTAAGAGCACTGAGGGAGCAGGTTGCTCCCCCACCAGAACCTATGGAGGTAAGACTATTAGAATGATCTATTTGTCATTAGCTGAATCAAAAACCTGTCAAATACTGATGACCATCATGTAATTTCAACCAGAAAATATTTAGAATGACTTCGAATTTTTTAAAATTCATTAACAATTTTGTAAAACAATTTTAAAAACGCACTCGATAAGTTAATCATATTAAGCCCATATATGCCCGAAAAATTCATAAACATAGTCGAAATAAAGAGAACTTTACATTAAAATGCATTGCGATAAACCTCTCGTGGCTAGATATCAAAGTTTAGCGATTACCGTAGCGTTTATAAAGATGTAGCCACTCTTTTGTCACAAGTACTGAACAAAATGATTTCTAAGCATAAGAAAGTAATTTATAAGAGTATATTTAGAATCAGAAAAGCAACTTCAAGTCGATAAATTAAAAAAATCCAACCAAAAGCATATATTTTTCGATGATGATCACTAGAACAAAACGGTTCCATGACAACGTAACCGAAGACAATAAAAAAAAGTTCCTGTTTATAAATTGTTTTTCGTCCAC